CCGCGGAGGCGTGGGAAAAGCCCCGGGTGGTGTGGAGCCCTTTCCACCGGCGGACGTCCATGCCCTGGATGGGGGGGAGGGGGGGGGTCAGTATTATCCTTCCCATTTCACAGGTGGGGAAAGTGAGGGCCCAGGCAGGGTGCGACTTGTCACCCAGCTGCAGGGAGGAGCAGGGAACAGAACCGGACTCCCCTGGTCGCTCTGCCTCCCCCAGCGGAGCTGCGCCCGCACACAGGCGAGGTTTGACAAGGCGGTTGTGTCATGGCAACCTTTTACCGAATAAACACCCAATCCTCTGCTGAGCCCCCATCTGGTGGCAGAGAGTCCCACAGGCTATTGGGGAGGGTGGACATGGTCCCATTTTCGGTGCTCTTCTCATGCCTTGGCAAGCGGGGTTCAACGTTCTTTCCTGGGCTCAGGAGAGGACCAGCCCGAGGAGGGTGGGAAGGGCCGGAGCCACCCATCATGGGGTGTGGCGGGGGGCCCAGTGCTTCTTGGCCTGTGGCTCCCCAGGCTGAAGCACGTCAACCCCAGGGGAGAACCAGGTATTGCCAACGCCAGGTACGTCACCGCGGCGCGGGGCTCCCAGCGGCTCCGGAGGTGGGTCCCTGGGCCCAGACTATCCCTCTGCGGTCGGGGGGAAGCTGCTCCCCAAAGCAGCAGCAGGCCTCAGACCCTGTGTCGCTTTCCGCTCGTGGCCTGGATGGACTCTGGCTGGGCAGTCACTGGTTGCTGCGTTGTGCTGGTCTCTGTGCAGGGCCCGGGGGGGATGGTCCTTGTAGGCTAGGTGGAGGTATCTGAACAAAGCCAGGGGCGTGGCTGCCTGGAGGCTAGGGACCAGCTGCTGGGAGTTGAGTCCGTCTCCGCTGTGCTAGGCGGAGGGAGGGTGCTTTATACCAAGGAAGGGGGCGAAGCCCCTTCCCCCCAAGAGGACTAGGCGGTCTGCCCTGGCTCCTGTGCTGCACGGTGTCTCTGAGAAGCAATAAGCCCTTCGACTCCTGGCCGGCGGAGGGTCACGTCTGGCTGCAGACGGGGGTGCAGGGGCGGGGGCCCCCGATGCGCCGTCACAGACCCCCTGCCCTCCCCAGCCCGCTGGCTGCCCGTGCCCCTTACCAGGCTGCTGTGAAGGCTGGGGGAGCGGCTGGTTGCGCCGGGGGGCGTAGGGCA